TAGTAGCTTAGTTTTCAAAACTTGTTAAAAACTTTTTGCATCACATTTTCAAAATACTTTTACTTTATGTGCTTCCTATGCAAGAAACAACAAATTTCTTCTACATAGTGAGAAAAACTAAGCACTCCACCACCATTATCTCATAGTATATTCACAGCAGATGTGCTCAACTAGAGAAAACATTAAAAAAAAGTAGATATCATAAACATAAAGCAGCCTTGGCATATTAATTCACCAGTAAAATTAACTTTATATTCAGCTCATCTATTATGCAAATCTAGACGGTTGTACTTTGCACAATTGTATACCTCATGCTAACATCCTCACTTTGAAATGGAGGATCTGAGAAAGCAGATAAGCCAATAATACAATGTTGTAGAACCTCCCAAAAATATGCATCTGGCAAAGTTGTTATCTTTCACAGATGAGATATGGTACTATGAACATACACTGGCCTTAGGAAATTGATTCATCCATAAAATTATTTTTATTTTATTGCTATAGAAGAGAACTGATCTGTCAAGTGGTCTGAAACATCCCAATGCTGGTCCCATGAAAACACACATTGTGATCAAAGGACGTGGTATGGAGGAGCATCCTTGGTCCTTAGGAAGATAATGCAACAAAACACTGGCAAAGAATGGTGCCCAGATGATACACTAGCACGAAAATATCATGCAGTCAACACAACCAAATGGAACACCTCACCAAAAGTAATCCAAATGGATCAGAAATACCATGCAAGTGCTGTTGAGAGTGAACAGTGTTACTAAACTTTACCTATGAGGCTAGGATGTATTGAAGGAGTGTTAAACAGCAAGTATAGAGGTACCAGGCACTATAATTTCCCAGAAAGCTACTGCCATCACAACCAAGGATCTAGAAGGACAAGCAATGAGAAAGGTATAAAAACAAAATTCAGTAAGCGATTAAGACAGAAGTGACACCGGGTAATTATTAGAAGATAAACATGACAACCTTCCACTGATGTAATTTGGACATGAGTGAAGTTATAGTTAGTGTTAGGCAATATCCATACCCCAGTTCAAACAATAACATATTTTGAGCTTTTAGAAGGTGGACACAGCAAGGTAGTGAATGTGATGAGAAGAAATCCACAACATTTGTGAAATTCAAACTCAAGTGAAGTTATACAGGTGAGATGAGCAGATATCCCAACTCATAAGAAAAGCAGCCGCAAACTCCTGTTATAATATAAAAAATCATTTGTGAGACATCCAGAAGTGACTCATAGGAGTGAGGGTAGTTTAATGCCTTTAATGATCATAAAAGACAGCCAAAATTGGAGCAATCACTTGTCACTGCCAAGCCTGAAAAAATAACTGGAAAAAAGCATTATGACCATTTAAAATAAGCATTTTTTAGTAAAAAACAACTCTCATTAAAATAAAATACAATTGATATTAAAAGCATTCAAGTAAGCATATTGTATATTTTCTGTCAAATAAATTCTATTCCACAAGTGACTATAGGTTAAAAAGGCAACATAACAATCTATAAAACAGCATGGAATAGGAGAACTAAAAATGCAAAAAATGTCTTAAACATTTCAGTCAAAGTTGGTGAGCTGAGTGCAGTGATTTTTCACTAAGTAGAAAAAGATGGCTTCAAGCAAGCCAGAAATCCTGGAGTGCATAAACAATTAAATTTAAACGTATGTCAACAAACTGGAAGAGAAAAATCACACAAGTGAAGAGGTCAAAGTTGACAAAGTGTTCATCACACTTTGTCTATATTACATGGAATAAAGCCTTAACTCTGATTTTTATATGGTCAAGAAAGTTCATCTGTCATGTCTTGTAATCCATCTTCTCCATCAATGAACTGAAAAGTAACCAAGCATAACTGTTAAGCCAAGAAAACTGAGGTAGAAATTAATGTTTAGGACTGATACAGAAGATGGTTCCAATGTGGAAGGGGAATCAGAGGTTGCACTTGTAAAAGTTCCAATAGATGAAACTGAGGCTTTATGAGCCAAAAAAGATTTTTCCTAAAACACCTGACAGTATATTTGATAAACATTGTGTATTGTCCTTCAGAGCTCAAAATGAGGGACATACACAAAGAAACCAGGGAAATTCTTGGTCAATACATCTGTTATCAGAACTGTTGGATCTGGGACTAGAGACCATGGAAATGGTAATGTGGGTTTCAGGAGGTCACAAAAGCATCTAGCAATAGACAACTAAAAGATTCACTGAGATGTTTAGAGGCCAAGGGATAAAGTAAGTACTGCAGAGACAATACTTTACTTAGGAGTAAAAGCTAATCCATTAGAAGATTTATCACTTCTGGAATACAAGAACCTTGTAAAGTAATAGAGCTGCACAGAGCTGGAGACCATTTCCTACCCATTTAGTTAAAATAAAATAATGATCAAACTGTTGCCTGAACTCCTAAGGCCTCAGAGCCCCATAATACACAAGCATACACATGAACACAATTTAAAGAGCATTAAATATAAAATTCTAAGTATGTAGTTAAGCATCCCAAAATAAGGAAGACTTCCTTGAGTAGCTCTGTTCTAGGTAACATCTCAAAGCCAACTTTATCTTCAAAATCAGACAGTTGAGAGAATTTGGAAATATTCCATTCTAAAATTCTGCCCCATTGATGATAATAATGCAGACAAGCCATACCCAGAGATATCATAGGAGCCACATCCACCAAAGACCAAAGCAAAGAAAGAATTTGGTGAATGGAAGAAGTCTCGAATTGATGAAGCATCGATTAGAAAGATCCCACAACAACAGGAGTGTAGTTTCTGCATATGAGAAGTGATCAAAACATCCAGATGGATGAAAAGTTGTTTCAGCTGAAGATTGGACTTGAATTTTTTAAAAATCCAATCTAAACTCATGTCAAATTTCATAATGTGTTGAATGTATATCTGAACACAAAAGAAAAAGATGACAAAACCAACAACTCATCCAAGGAGTGACGGAAACCTATTCCCAGCTGATATACATACAACTTATGAAAATTCTGTACCTTGAGGCATGAGATGGTTAAAAAAAAACAATTCAGAGAAGAGGGAAGTATGACTACTCACTTATCTCCTGTACGTTTGGAAGCATAAATGGAATAGAATAAGACCCAAGATCAGTGTTGACCATTCTCAACAACTGAGAAAACAAGATGACCACCAGTCACTAGGTGAATTAGAGGTGAGCAAGAAACATGTAGGTCACAGAGGAAGTAGGAAATTCCAAATAAGATATTAATCCTTTCCTAAAAGATTCTAAAGTCCACAATTCAGATACTACTATACTCCAAATATCAATAAATATGACCAATTTGTTCCCCCGTAACAATGTGGAACCATAAGATCTGACTTTAAGTTAATTAAACATCCTCAAATACCCAACTACACTGGAGAAAAATGTCTAAAAGACAGCCTGGAAGATATCTGAACATGAAACTTTCTCAAAATAGGAAGTCTGAGAATAAAAGGAAGATGCAGCAGTAGAAAAGAAACCGTAGAATGATGCAAGTTTCAAGAGAGATTAAAAATTGGGAAATGTTGTTGGGAAGCACTGGTCCTGGTTTATACTTAATCTAGAAAAAACATTTGCAACTTCCTCCAGGGCACAGGCCAGATAGCAATTTTTAAACATACTTGTGGCACACACCATATGAAGCAAAAGTAAAATTTAAAAAGACTGGAATTTCCTTAGCAAAACTTCTTGTTATTAAGGGTACAAATAGAGTAGCAGTAGAATATACAGTGAATGAGAATATTAATCAAATAATAACAGTTATGAAAGAATAAAATGCTTTAAATCATTTACCATAACAGTAGGTGGATCATATGCATTTGTAGCTAATAATCCATATTTTAATATTATACAAGTTTTAAGTTAAATTTATAAGACAATATCTGTAAAAAAATTCTGAATTTTCCCTAGTGTGGAAATTTGACATTTTTGCTCTAGGCATTCCCTCTTCTCTAATTTATTCAACACACCCTCCAATAAGTACGAAATTTAACATAAATTACTCCCTATAATATCGTCATTGCTAAAAAAAACTATTTTCCTAGCCTTTAATCTTGTTTGATTACAGAGCCATCATATGGAAAATCAGACTCCTGCTGTCACACCCTATCTTTCAGGATTTGTTAATATTTCACTCTTATGTTTAATACTACGTTATTTATAACCAATAGAAAGCCAAGGTTTTCAGGTATCAAATGATATCAAGATTTTGCATGACTTCTTTCGACCATGATGTGTTAACCTAATCAAAAAAGGGTCATCTCGGGCATAAGTTTATTGACGCCTACCAGTAGACTTTCCTGGAACAATGTTTCCTGTAGTCCAATGATGTTTCAGGATTCTGGATACAGTACACTAGGGGTGCCCTACTGTTCTGGCAATGTCCATTTGCTTCATACCATTTCTGGACAGCCAAACAATTTTATGCCCTATAACTTCTGGCACATGATGAAGCATGACTCTACATTAAGTACAGAAAAATTATCGAAACAAACCATTGATCTGTTTCAAAAAAGATTATGCTAAAAGAACACCCTTTTATACAAAACAGGTGTATAGATGTATTTTGATGAACAAATGCTCAAAACAACTCATACAGACCAGATTAACAAGTCATATACATTTGTCTCATCATATGCTACCTTCTCTATTAATACTCAAGCATTTACTTTATAACTACTTCATGTATGTAGACAATAACATCAATATTGAACATTTTAGCCATGACTGTAGTACTATATTCCCTGCAACAACCAAAGCCATGGATCCACAAGCAAGTTGGTACAAAAACTCTTAAGGAAATGTGTTTTAAAACCAATGAGATATATGTGGACTCCATTTATAATTCCCAGGCTAAATCAATTTTATTTTATTGATATATATATATATAACCAATAAATCAAATATGTTAAGAAACTAAGCTAAATTAATTAATTAGTAATATTTCTAATAACAAAAAAGAAAATGAACAAAAATCAATACCTTGATATTTGTAGATATAGAAGTCCTCTGTAACACCCTGAAAAAGTGCACACCATGAAATGCAAATTTCCTTTTGATTTGAATTTCTAATTTCATATTTTGTTATTTGTAGATGAAAAGTCAATAAAAGTCTGTTTAATATTTATCAGTACAAAGTTTAATGTTATTATTTTTTGAATAATCTATTCATTAATTTACAATAAAAGTCTGCTGATACTAAAACTATTGTTATGGTAAATATTAGAATATATTTTTAAATAGCTTTTGATCTTGTAATCATCAGGTTTCAAAAACAAATTTTTGGTTTACATAAATGAATATGGTGAAAACCTGTTTTTAAGACTTTTCAATCTAATTAGAATAGATTATTTTGGAACAGATGATTATCAAATAATGAATACCTAGTTTACTAACTTAACTATTCTGTTTCATGCATTTACTATTATTTACACAATATGATAACTTTACACTGTAGTACCAACAACATAAACACAGATTTTTAAAAAGAAGTTCCAATACGAAAAGCTTAATTCAATCTTCAATATAACTTTTCACAATTTGCATATGTACACAAATAAACACCTGTGGTACTTTAAAGTAAAGCACTACACAAAGATAAGTCACAACCACAATGACTAGAGGAATGCTAAAGCCACTTGAATAGATTCCATACTGCAGGAATACTAGAACTGTCAAAACATGTGATATGTACTAAACACAGATTTAGAACGGTTTAATATTGTACATTTACATGAATCATGAAAATGTCTGATGTGTAATGACTACATCATTAAAATGAGTGATATATATATACTAAAAACATAATTATAGTAGTTTCCATAATTATAGTAGTTATATAGTAATTATAGTAGGTCCACATTTATAAACTTCTCTAACAAAAGTACTAGGATTACTGTACAGTTAATCCACTTACTTTTACAAAGCAGTACAACAGCTAACACAGATTCACTCTACTACCTTGAAAATCTCTCTTGAAACAACTCACTCTCTAACTAACTTCAACTCAATTCTCACTAATGCTTCATGGAACACTGTTATGTAATCTATGTTTGAATATTCACAGCTCCCTCTAATTAACTTCTAATTTATCCATTAAAAGTGTAGCTTATAACAACATATTAAAACATTAGCAGAATCGTGAAAAGTGGTATACATATTAAGAACATACTTTTGATAGTTTTCTTATTGTAATGTTCTTACAACTGTTAAAATATGTGATGGAAAAAACCACATAATTAACAGTTTCACATTAAAAGGTTAGAATTATTATGAAAATGTGGTTATATGCAGTAAGAACATAGTTTGAACAGTTTCTCAAACTGCAAATCCCTATTTCTAATCCACCAAATGCAATTTTAGGTAACATCATAGAGCCAAAACAGGTGTTTTTAGTTTGAGTAAATAATGTCTATGGTATCTCTAGCCTTATTTGCTTACTGTTTTTATGATCCATACTTCCAGGTTTTTAAATTCAAAATTTTTTATTTATCTTGTATAAATGTAAGACTAATCTAAACCTCCTACAGTAGCTGATGATTTTTGTTGGTTATGAAGCGCAATGCTACACAATGAGATATCTATACTCATCTCATATGCTTCTATAAAACAGTTTTAACAATTCTCTATCCATAATTCTATAACTACATGCATAAAAAAATAGGTTTGGATCATCCTTGCATATACATGAACATTTCAATAATGTGTAACAGTGAACTGACTAATGTGAAATTGAAAATATGTTTAATGCCACAGAGATTAAGTTAACAAAAAATCTATCTAGTCAACTTTAGTGCATAATTTAATTGATTGTAAAATATGGTTTAACGTCTGCAGATACTCTGAAGATTATTTGGAAAGTTACAATGTACAATATGTAATCCTTCAACATGAAGAAAAACTGTCATAAATAACTATAACAATAATTCACACAATGTAATCCTTCATGCAATACAAAATCCTAAAAGTTCTCATGCTATATACTGTGTAAAAATCTGTAGCATTTAGATAAAGGGTTGATATTACAAACCACCAGTAGAATCTGTAATAGCTAACGTATACAATTTGAAAGTCCCTAAACAATACATATAATGAATCACAATACCAACTGATTTGTAAAACACACTAACCACTATGCACTCAAAAATTATGTATCATATTCTAGGAAGCATACCCACAGCATAAAATTACTAACTATATGAAATTATACACTGATTATTCTTTGTAAAGTCAGGGAACAAATGGCTTTAAAAAATATCCTCTCTACAAAATTTATCTGAGTCCATACAGCATAAAGGTAATGATGTACCCACTGAATATACTTAGCAAAAATTCCAAAGAATCAATTAATCAGAACTGGATGAAGCAAAACTATTACTACAGTTGAGGTTAGCATTAAAGTGACTTATATCAAAGAAATAACTCATTAAAGCACTTATTTTCATTATTTTAATACATTCTATACACTTAGAAATGTGTATTAAAAACTAATAAACAAGTTACCTCCCCATTTGTTCAGCAATACTCATGAATCTGTGAGAGAAGATAGACAGCTGAATTGTGTCCAGCTCAGTTCCAATATTCTGGGTTTTGTTCTTATAAACCTGCAAATGACAATTTTTTCTTACAGTGAATATCAATCAGACTCCCTCCTCACATATTTGACAAACTGAACTTGTTCACTGTTGGTCTATATTTTTTTGTTTTTTATAAGACATTTTTGCATATGACTTAGATTTCTCACTATATGTTCAAGGTAATCCATATTTAAAGTTTATTAAATTATATTTTAAGACTAAAATAATCATTTAAACAAACATTACCTTAAAATGGACAATAAGCAAGAACTCACACTTAAAAACTAAGTTTTAAAACTCTACACAAAAGAGAAAAATAGGCCAAAAGAAATTACCTAAGACTGTATAAACCACAATAAAAATTTCCACATAGAAGCAGCTTACATATTGGAAATATATATACAACCATTAAAATATATATCTCCTGTCTTCTTGTCTGCTTCTTGGTTCTATGAAAGCATAGCCTTTCAAAGTAAATCTACTTATCATAACAGGAGCATGCAATACCACAGTAATTAAAACCACAAAAATCTTAATTCTGGTTAAGTAACATAAGAGGACTTTCACATTCTATCCTGTAAAATATCTCGAGTCTGACAGGAGGTAAAATACATATGCTTGATTAGCCACAAAGTTAAACTGCATATAACAGAAGTTTAATGCAGCTTGTCAGACTGAGAACAGGAATATCATGTACGTGTAAAAGCTATTAGAAGTCTGCACCTGGTATCATACTAGTATCAGCCAAACAATGAAGATGATGACCAGGGTCTGATGTGTATATGCCACAAGTCAACTTGACAAGAGAGCTAACATAAATATAACAGCACTAAACATATGTGTCACCAAATGTTTAAAAAATATTTAGAAAAAATAATCCTAGTATTGTTATGACATTGGAAGTCATGTGCGCTGGAGTTTCGGGAAGGATCATGAATTATCAAGGAACCCTGCGAATGTCAGAGTGTTTGCCAGACACCCTCTTTTTTAGTATATAAGCCTGGCAAATAAAGCCAGCGATAGATAGATATGCAGATAAATTGAAGAGATACATAATTGAGTCAAGCAAACAGTAGGCACTGTAAGTAAAGTGTGTCAATCACTGTGATTTATAACATATGTATAAAGGTTGGTAAGTTTAAAGTGACTGTGCAAATTCTGTGCATTACAAAACGTTGTATCGAGGAAGAATAAACTAGTTTTAATTAAGAAAGGACTTGCATCACTGAAGTTCCTTGAAAAGAATTTAGACCAGAAATTAACAAACAAGCAGATACGCAACAAATTGGTGTCAGAGAATGGGACGGAAGAAGAAAAAAAAAGAAGATGGAAACGAGAAGTGGCAAAACAAACTACAGCTTAGCAGATTTGATGGCACCAATACAAGAACAGCAAAAGAAAGAAGAACAGATATTACAGCAGTTGTTGGAGGAAAAAGAAAATAAACAAGAAGAGAGATTACAGCAGTGGAAACTGGAACA